ACCTATTGCTTCAATAGCCTCCTATCTGGTTATCTTGCCCCTTATACACCAAGGATAATTTTTCTCAAACTCAAACTCAATGAAGCAATTTCTCCAATGAAAATCCTTTAGGGGCACCCCATTCTACCTAAAAGATAAAACAAAGCTCCATTCCTCAAAAAATTAAATCTAGAATTACCATATGACTCAGCAACTCCACTTCTGGGTGGTATATACCCAAGAAAGCTGAGAGCAGGGACACGATCAGGTATTTGCACCCCGAGGTTCGTAGCAGCATTATTCACAGTAGCACAAGGTGGAGGCAACACAGATGAACCTAAGTGAAATTAGCCAGTCACAAAAGGAGAGACACTGTATGATGTCACTTATATGATGTATCAGATTCATGTTAGACTGTCTACAGGAAGTAGAATGGTGGTTGCCAGGGGCTGGGGGAGCAGAGAGGGGGATGGGGAGAAGAGTGTTGAATGGGTGTGGAGTTTCAGTTTAGGAAGATCAAAAAAGTTCTGGAGATGGATGGTGGTAACGGTTACACAACAATGTGAATGTACTTTTTGTCACAGAATGTATGCTTTTACTGATTAGCACCCTCCCCACGGCCCTCCCCTCACCCCCCACCACGTTCTACTGCTCCCAGTTCTCAGAAGAACCCAACCTATAGCCATTCACGGAACATGTCAGCTTTCACACCCTAGATCTTGGTATAGCCATGAGTTGCGGCCATCATGTCCTTCTCCCCTCCCTTCCCCTCACCCTCCTCCCATCCCACTTACCTGGCAAATCTCTTTCCTCTAGGTCTCAGCTTGCATGCCTGTCCTCCAGGAAGCCCTCTAGAACCTGCTGCCTTCCCCAGGGGTTCTCAAGCCATCCTGTGCTTCCCCTATCATGGCTCATAACACACTGAATTAACATCACTTATTGGCTTGTCTTTGGAGAGCAAGATTCATGTCTTGCTCACCTTTGCATCTCCGTCAGTGTCTGGTGGAGTCAGCCCCAGTAACTCTTTATTGAATTAAGAAATTTTGCACTAAGGAATAGCCTCATTTAAGAAATATTAGGACTGTAAGATACAGTTCTCTTCATAGATTTTAATATGTTACCCATGGTCTTTGACAAATCAAGTAGTCCCCAGAAAATAAGGTTATAGGAAACAGCAGATTATAAATGTAAGGCTACATAATATAATTAATGAAGATAAATATGTTTGTGTAGTTGACTCTGCAGAGATATCATAATGGAAAACTCCTTCTGTTTCTAGAAACTAACAGATGTACAGGCTGCATTCTTTAACCATGATCCCTACAAACAGAATAAAACAAAAAAACCAAAGCTAGAAGAAAGAAAAACAAGTACGATTATAAATACAAAATGGGATATCAGAAGTACTGAGAGAAATTTAAAACTGTGGTACTAATGCATGTGGTTACATGCTAATCTTTGTCTCTGCTTATGGCACACTGGGTGGAAGGGTGTCCGAATTTTCTCGTCTGTGACATCCATCACCCTCACCCTGCATTTTGCCAGCCTTTTCCCAGAACCCAGGCTAACAACCACATGTTCCCCTATCAAATCTAAGGGGCAATAAGACTGCAGGTCAACCCTAAGTGTGTCTCATAATTCACTCTAGAGTCAATAAACTATGATGCAGAAAACAAATCCACTTTACACACCCATTTCACTTGTTCTTATATAAATGGCTTTGAACTTGAGTCATTTAGATTTCCAGCAAATTTCAGTGACCTTGTTTCATTTGTTAGAATAAGGGCATATTTAAAGCAAGGTAAGGTTTGCTTACAAAGAAAGCAGAGAAAGAAAAATGTCTAGAACTTTCTTTCACTGCGATCCAGACTAACATAAAATATTATTCTGTATTCGTTCTTGGCTGAGTTATACTGCAGAAATCCCAAAGTCTTCGTGGCCAACATAAGGGTTTATTTCTCTTAAGTCAAAGCCCTTTATGAGTTAGCCCCACATTGTATTTATTCCAGGAACCAGAATGAAGGAGCAGCCCCTATTTGGTGTAGGTGTTTTTGTGATAGAAGGGAAAAAGAAATGGCAGAACACAAGATGGCTTTGAAACTTGTCTTTGGACATCCATCACTTTCATATATGACTTTCACTGGCATTTAATTGGCCAAAGCCTGACATCAGTGGGCAGGGAAATAGAATCCTCTCACATGTTGGGGAAAGAAATAGTTGGACATAATAAAACCTATTACAGCCCATACCTTTGCAAAACAATATTCATTTTCTTCCCTTCAGCCACAAAATATACTCCTCCCTCCCCAAGGGAAACACCCAAAAGTCCCATCCAATTATAACATATAAGACTCAAGATCTAGAATCTCATGATATACATTGAATCTGGGTATGGCTCCTCCTGATTGGAGACTATATAACTAAAAAGAAAAAAAAAATCCCACCATCCCCCCACCACACTCAACATATAAAGGCAGAAAAGACCCAGGCTAACCACCCCAAACAATCCTATCCAGAAAGAAAAAAAAAAAGGAAGACACATTGCAATCAAAGGGTACTTGGAGCAATTCTAAACTCTTTTTGAACAGACCTTGGAGCGAGGAATATTCCTTGATTAGACCCTAGTTCTGCTTCCTGGAAACTGCTCTTGAGTTCACTGCATGATTTCAAGCATGGTTCCCAGCTTTGCCATCTGGGAGATCCATCCCTTTGCACTAGTCAACTAGTACTCATCTGATGAGGGCATTAGAGAATATGCCTTGCTTGGGGCCTCTGTAGCTTATTCTCCTAATGGCTTGTGCCCATAAAAGGTTGGGAGCCCAAAGATCATTTTAAGTTTTGAGCAGTCATAGAGTCTTTTATTCCAGGCCGTTGGCTCTTGCCCAGTACAGCTCTCTCAAAACCATAGTCATTTTTTTTTTTATCTATTTGATTTCAGTTGTTTTCTGCTAATAGCCACATCCACAATTATTTTCAGACATAACTCTCTCTAAACTTAATAACCAGCTTCCTCGGAGAGTCACTTAACATATTCAGAGGTTTTAATAAGGAATGCTTAGATTTGTTTTGTTATTTATAGCATTTCTCAATTTTATCTCTTCCTAGTTGAAAACGAAAAACAATTGCTTCTTCCCATTCTGTAAGACCAGGAATTTCTGAGTTGTCTCTATTCCTGGCTTGCAAACCAACCAATTCTTTCCTGAACATATCTCTTTTTTTCCCTCTTTTTAAAAAAATTAAGATAAAATTCACATATAACATTACATTAGCTTCATATGTATAAGATAATGATTCAATATTTATATATATTGCAAAATGATCATCACAATAAACTGAATTAACATCCATCCCCACACATAATGACACACTGTTTTCCTTGTAATGAGAACTTTTAATGAGAAACCTACTCTTTTGGTTTCAAATATGCAATAGTGTTATTAACTATAGTCACCATGCTGTACACTCGATCCCCATGACTTATTTATTTCATAACTGAAAGTGTGTACCTTCTGACCCCCTTCATCCATTTCACCCACCGGCCACCCCCAAATCTGGAAACCAGCAGTCTGTTCCCTGTATCTATGAGTTCAGGAATTTTTTTTTTTTTCCGTTGGTTGGTTTTCGATTCCATATATAAGTGAAATCATACAGTATTTGTCTTTTTCTGTATAATTTCTTTCACTCTGAGCTCACCTCTTGTGGGACCCTGTAGATACAACCAGTTGCAACCATGCTGTTCCCCAAACTTCTTACCTAAAGCCACAGACTCATTCGTCATATATATGTTCTTCAAGTCCTCACAGGCAATGACTTACCAAAAGTTGTGCTTCTGCATAACATACATCGGTCTTTATCTTTCCAGCCTCCAATAACATTTTTCTCATTTCCCACCATTTGGCCCTGGAACATCCTATTTTAGAAAGTTTGTTAGGGTAGCCTCTTACTTCCGTGTATTAATTTTTGTGTTATTGACTTAAACCAACTTAGCAAACAAGCCCAGAACCTTTATGGCTGATCACAACAGAGGGCATTTCTTACCCACATTATTTTTCCTTTATGGGGTATCTGCAGGTCTTCTCCACTTTATCCTTGCTCTGGGGCCCAGACAGAAGGAATAGCCCCCACGTGGGACATGCTGTTCTCATGGCGGAGGGGAAAGAGCACATGATCGAACCACAGAATGGCTCTTAAAGCTTTTCATTGGATGTGGCATATGTGACTTCTACTCACATTTCATTGGCCAAGGAAGTGATAGGACCAAACCTGATAGAAAGGGAGTGGGAGAGTATAATCCTTTCCCTAGGACAGGAGGAACATACCTGGGGAAGCTACACTTGTCCTTTAGCTTCTCTTCCTCATAAACATGGCTTTGAACTTGTATTTTATCTTGTTAGAACAAGGTACACCTTTATTTTTAAGATTTATCTATTTATTTTACAGAGAGTGGGGGAGGAGGGGCAGAGGGAGAGGGGAAGCAGACCCTGTACTGAGCACTGAGCCCAATGCGGGGCTTGATCTCACGACCCCGAAATCATGAGCTGAGCCGAAACCAAGAGTCACACGCTCAACCGACTGAGCCACCCAGGCGCCCCAAACAAGGTACATATTTAAAGCAAGATGGGAATGGCTGGCTCCTTGGGAGCTGTATCATCTTTAGAGACATGTGCATTGTCTGAAGTGCGACACAACTCCAAAGTCCGTGAGGTGTGCAGGGTGTGAGGAGGTGACAGCAGATGGCTGGGTGAGTAGGAAGCCAAACTAGCAGCTGGCATCTTTTTCTCCAGGACTCTCAGTTGAGGGGGATATGTTGCACTCGCTGTATTCCCACTAAGTCCCCTGCAAGTTCTCGAGTATGCTTGGAGCTGAACGTGACAGACAAACTGCTCAGCTGCTACCCAGCAAAGCTGGGAGAAGCTCCTAGAGAGGAGCTTTGGGGCGTTAGGGCCATGGGTCATGCCCCAAGCTGGCTTCTCAGCCCCCTGTGCCTGAGACCATCTCACTCCTCTTTCTCTTCACAGTTCGACATGCAGAGGATAACTTTGGAGGAGTTGAAGCATATCCTCTACCATGCCTTCCGGGACCATTTAACGATGAAGGACATTGAGAACATCATCATCAATGAGGAGGAGAGCCTGCAGGAGACGTCGGAGAACTGCCAAACAGAGTTTGAAGGAGGTAGGTACCCCTGCTTCTGCTTTCCTGCTCTGGGCTCAGCGCATGCCTCCACATCCTCTGTCGATGGAAAATGTGTTTACAGTTGGGGCTGGAGTGCCTTGTACTGAAGCCAAGAATCCAGGACCCAGGTTACAAGATCCTCACTGCAAAGATGCAGCAGGTTATTTATTTCCTTTCTGTTTTTTTCCCCAAACTCTGCATTTTTGCAGGACCTCTAGTGACCCTGTCTTTCCTCCAGTGATCCTCTGAGGTCCGTGATTAGATGTGCAGCTTTGTGGTGTTTGCCTTTCCTTACTGGGGGCCACGTGGAGTGGTACCCTCGGCCTGTTTGGGCTGGTGGCAAACTTGAATCCAGTCCAGTGGTTAACTGTGTGACCTTGGACACCAGGTGTGCCTTCCCTGAGGGTGCATCCTTGCCTAGAAACATCAGGATAATTACACCTACCTCTCAGGACCCTGAGGAATGGTTTACCTCTGTGCTCTGCTCCCTGAGGGCGCTGCTCAGAAAGAGCCCCCTTCATGAAAGGACTCTCGTGAACATAACCATGGAGTTTCAGAAGAAATAAGGTTTTCCTTATTTCCCCAGGTTTTCCTGGGGCCAAAATATAGACCCATGAGAGGCCATTTTGGGGGGCTCATGAAAGAAAACTTAAGAAAAAAAAACCCCACCTACCTGATCCCCTAATTAGTAGAAAGTTCCAGGTAAGCTAAATAATCGAATCCCTCTTTCCAACTTTGAAAATCAGAACTACTGTAACAACGCTGATGCATCGGAAAAAAAATTTTTTAATTACATTATAACAGGATATCAGGCTACCAGCAATTTTTCACTTGTTCAATGCTGAGATTTCTTAAAGAGGTCAAACTATTATTTTCCATTCTTTTTTTATGAACACTTAAAGAAATCAATGTACACAGTGGGTAAGCTGTCATGTGGCCACCAGAATAGATTCGGCTGCCTGGTCTTGGAGCTGCCTCTTTCAAGCCGACAGAGCACTGTGGCAGGGAGTCTACTCGGGGCGGGGTTAGTCCAGGTGGCCACAGTGGCTCATTCAGACCTACACGCCCATGGGTCCTGTCTGGGCTGCATCGTGTGCAGGATTAAAGGCCATGGCAAGAGGAAACAGGAAGAGATGCTCATACTCCGAGGCAATAAATGAAATTAACTCAAGCCTGGGAAATAGGGAGTAGTGGGTGGGAACGGGCGTAAACCTGAGAGCGATGCCCCTTCTAAACACATTCAAATTTAAATTTTTCAAAAATGCTGGAATGGCAAACGTAACCCGGTGGTTGTACAGAGGCTGCCTTGCTTAGCCTCAGTGTGACCCCTGGGCTGTAGCATCAGTGGCCATATTTGGAGTTGCACACCCAGAGTGGGATGGTCACAGCCAAGGCCATTTGCAGCAGGGGGGGGGCGGGGTCGGGGTGGGGGGCGGACACTGGGAGGGTCAGTGGAGGGAGGGAAGCAGAGATGGGAGAAAACTTGGATCTTGGATAAGTTTTCCTTGGTCTCCCCCATCCGTCTCGTTCCTCCCTGTTCAAACAATGGAAGCACCCGGGGGCTCCAGCCCCCCACTGTCAGCAAACACTCTTGAGATGGGTGGGAAGAGTATTTCTGGGCATTTTATTTTCCACAGGAGCCTTCGTCTGTGGATCACTGTTTTGTTCAGAGAAATGTCACAAGTCTTAATAATTTGGGAAAGGTCAGACTGTGCACGAGGAAGTAATCTGAACTCTAAGCAATGTCTTTTTATTATTCAAGAGCTCATACATTAATAAAGTAAGTGACTGAGAAAGGGATTTTTCCAAATAGAAGTCTTACAGAGTCTGCTTTCATTGATTCAGACTTATAACATTGGCAACAGCTACCATTTGGGGGACGGGGGTAATTGATAAGTTCCAGTCACTGTACTAAATGCCTTAAACTTTGTGGTCTTATTTAAGAAAAGAAACATTGCTTTATAATTAGTAGATTGCTTTTTTGAATGACCTCTGCAACCTTGATTACATAATCCACTTGCTTGTTTTCACATCAGAGAGTTGTTTTTTTTTTGGTGTGTTTTGTATTTTAAATATTATGTCAGCGCTGTTTGGCCCCAGATGCAAGCTCATTGCTTTGTGTTCAGGTTTAAGATTTTTCCAATCTCGGATAGGATCAGAGTCACTGGTGGATATATTTAATGCCCACAGCCCTCTCCTTGTTCGAGAAGGGGCTTCCCTGATTGTATTTTTGGGCAGGGTTGTCTAGGAAGAGATGCCACACAGGCATTGAGGCCCCTGTGCCCTAGAAGAATGCATTTGAGACGCAGTGGCTGACCTTGACCTTCCCGCCCAGGGAGCTCCTCCCTCCTTCTCTTGTTAAAACTTTGCTGCAGCAAGAAACAAACAAACAAAACAAAAAACTTTGCTGCAGCAAGTGTGTACCCAAAGCCGGGGAATCCATGGGGATTGGGAGTCTTGCCCCCCTTATGTCAGAGGAAGGCATCAATGAGAAAGAAAAAAACCTAGAAGTGTAGGTCTTTGCCTTAAAAGATGAAAGGGCACATCTGTCTATCTCTGAGCAAGGAAGGTGGAGGTGGTCAATGAAACTGATGTTGTGTTGGGGCACCTGGGTGGCTCCGTTGGTTAAGCTTCTGCCTTCGGCTCAGGTCATGATCCCAGGGTGCTGGGATCGAGTCCTGCATCGGGCTCCCTGCTCAGCAGAGGGTCTGCATCTCCCTCTCCCTCTGCTGCTCCCCCTGCTTATGCTCTCTCTCCCTGTCAAATAAATAAATAAAATCTTAAAAGAAAAAAAAAAGAAAGAAAGAAAGAAAGAAACTGATATTGTGTGGCAGAGGGAGAATTTAATCAAATAGCTCAGAGCACAGCAAGGTTAGGGTCAAGACTGGGATTCTGGAGTGTGACATAGCTTTGGAAATGTGGATTTGCACAATCCGTGTGACGCAGAGCCAGTTAGACATTAACAGGAGACCTTCCACGTGCCACCAGCATCGTTTTACGTCAGTGATTATACTCTTCACTTTTATAGATCTTGGGTCTGAGACTTGTACAGAGGTGTTCCGTTTCTGTCCGCTGAATGAGGACACAAACATCCTTCTTTCCATATGAATGGAAACGTAAAGGAGAAATAGGCCAGGAGCCCAGGGGGTTGTGGCCCCCGTGATGGGAGAGGTTTCTGGATTTCTTTTTCTCCTTTTAGTTTTCCTTTTGGCTTGATGTTGTCTTTATTCGTTTAAGTTTTAGGCCAACACAGACCACAGATATATGCACGAACACGTGTGCACACACACACACACACACACCAGCCCCTGACACATTCTAATCTGCCTTATCTTTACGGAAGACAGGGCTCTGGAGCATAAAGAAGGAGGAATTTTTCCATCTTCTCCCAGGTGAAGGACAAGAGGCAACAGGATGAGACTCCAAGCTACATAGAAGGAAAGGTTTCCTGACTTCTTCAGGAAACTCTGAGATGGGGGTTCATGTCACGTGTAGAACCCATTTTCCTGGAGCACCAAAAGAAGTCATTTACAGAAACCCTTATTAAGGCAGGGAAGAGACTAGAAGAATCTAATTCAAGGGCTCTGAAGGAGACCTTACCTTTATTCACACCTGGCTTCTGGATGAGAAGTTACTCGGATTGAGTCAGGCACCTGACCAGCTGTCACCTACCGTGCTGGGTGCTCTGGGCATGAGGTCATTGAACAGCACTGAAGTCAGGGCCTCTCTGGCATAACCTGCGAGCCCGAATCCGATAGGGCCCGGATCCCATGAGAATACTCAGTATGACTTTCAGGCCCTCCCAACCCCCCTGATCTTTTCGAATTCCCTTATTCAGATAAATTATGCTCAGTGTTCTGAGGTGTCAGTTTTCACTATTTGTGTTCTAACCATTTGGAAAAATAAATAGGTCAGCATCTACCCAAATGGGTTAGATACAAGAGTATGTGACTCCCCACAATGCGCATTCACTATCTGTGCTACGTAAGAGTTTTAAGATGTTTTGCTTCTGTTTCACCCCTTATAATCACCAGACATTTAGCTTTTGGGGAACATAAGCTCACAGACACTGAGAGACACATTCGTATTTCATTATTTGGTTCCAGTTGCTGACATATGTGAAACTGAGTGGTCTTGTGGTTGAATCATCTATTTGCCTGTCACCGGCTCCTTATTAAAGGTTCGCATAACAAATTCTACTATATATTAAGTTTGATTTACTTCCTCCAATATGTTTACTGCTTAATTCAAATTGATACAGTCCAGGAGGTAAAGGGACAGGAGGAAACTGCCCAGCATGCCGGCCAGGTGCTGGTCATTTGTTAACATGTGCAACTGACCTGCAAGATTAGTTCTGCGGCCCCACTGGTCCAGATGAGGAAAGTGAGGCTCAGCAGAGTGGTGTCCTTTGCCCAAAGTCAAATCACGGGTAGGGATTTGAACCCGGGGCTCTCTGACACAGCCCTGCCCTGGCCTCTTCATTTGTTCTTCTGGGTCCTTCAGCCAGACGTAGGCATTTCAGACTCCTTACAGAATGGCTCTCCGTCATTACTCATTTTCCATTTCATCGCCAGTGAGATCATATTACATTTGGAAGTTGAGTAGAAGTGCAGGAAGACTGTGTGCGAGCCCTTTCAAGACACATCCCCCAAATGTTGTCCCTAAATGGAATACCAGCTGTCAGATTTTTCTAGACATTCTGACAACACGCACGACAGAAGGAAGTAAAGCAAAATCATCAACGGGGGGATAGTTTCTATGAAAGGCACGGCAGAACAGCCCTGCACCGTTCAGTGATGGGATGATGGACAAGAGAAAGAAATGTCCAAGGAGGTGACACTGGCCAGGTCGCCGCATGGATGTGCGGGTCATGTCTCCAGCCCTGTGTAGACTAGATATGTGCTCCTGGATGAGTTATTAATTTTTTTAAGATTTATTTACTTATTTGAGAGCGAGAAAAATAGATAGATTGAGAGAGAGAGAGTGAGAGGAGGGGCAGA